AATTAAAATAATATTAAAAATATGAAACGCATTATGACTCTGATTTTACGCATTGACACACCTAAATTTGTGATTCTTGATTCTCGACCTCGATAGAACACTGATTTACGCAATCAATATATCCAAGTAGTCTCATTTTTTGCTAAAACTCATTTCCCAAACCAAGTACTTGTGATATAATCAGTTATGGGAGATAGCATGGACAAAGTTACTAGCGTGTAAAAGATAAAAAGATGATGCTCACACAATCCTCGCCTTTTTCTTGGCCACTCAAAAACTGCTTACAAAAGATTTATACACATTCATTAAAATAGACATGTATATAAATAGAGAGAGTTGTATACAAATTTAAACAAGACTTGGATAACAAGGAGTAACATTATTAGGGTTTGCAAAAAACTTGAAATTTACAATGAAATATTCTTATCAAGTGATTTTCTTTGCAGTTGTTCTACTATGTGGGATTCTGCAGCTTAGTCGAGCTAGAGACGACGTAAACTTCAATGTCAACTATAATATCACTTGGGGAAATGATCATGTTTTGTCCCTAGACCAAGGAAGAGAAGTTCAGCTTTCCATGGATATACAATCTGGTTATTCATTATTCTTGTTTTATTAAAATCTTTATACTACTATAGTTTAGAGGTGATATTAGAAGAAACAAACTCAACAATGCCTAACTTTGAGCATCTTTAATAGTATAGATAGTAAAGTAGAAGATTGAGTACATGGTAGTATGGTACTCTTGTCAAACCCTGGCTTCTTCATATTATCATTGATTTTTATGCATTTCAATTTCAATTGATCGAGTCATTCGCATCGGCCTTTCTAGTTTCTAAACATTTGTATCTAAAAGGTTAACCTATGTATTAGAGAGTCATTGATCTTCAACGTGCCCCTTACATGCAGGGTTATATTCATTTTTTCGTTTACAGTATGTCACGTGCATAATTAATATAAATGAGTAGCAGTGTTATTTGAACCTTGGTCCTTTTTCTTGATTTTGACACTACATTAAACCATCTCATCCATAAATTTAGCTCTTTTTTTGATTTAGCTAAAAAAGTTGATAAAAATATAAGTCTCAGTCAGTAATTAATTTTAATTACGTATTTTTTGAAATCTACCATTTTTATCAACTTCTGAACCACATATTTCATCATTTTTTATCGAAATTTATTAAAAATTCAATTTTTAGCAAAACCAAATAGGGACTTAATTAATGCTAGAGGGAGATCACATTTATCTATTTGTCGTCAAAATCGACAAAACATCCCATACGTGCACGGTGGAATCGTTTTTATCGTCAAAGGCCTATCACAATGCACAATTTCTTATTTCGAGCGCGACACTTGAACCTAGAAGTACCTCATCTAAAATTTTAAACCTTTAGAGATGAGAGCAAACACACTTAGAACTACACACATGAATACCTATGTGCTTGCATATGCATATACTTTATGGATACACACACACAATATCTATATCATGCAAAGTCAGCAATAGTATTTTTGGTTCTTCTTAATCATCTGTTCCATTCAAATATTGTAGGGTCTGGCTTCGGGTCTAAGCTAAGCTATGGATCTGGCTTTTTCCAAATGAGAATCAAACTACCAGAAAAGGACTCAGCAGGAGTGGTCACAGCTTATTATGTACACATTATCAGCAACATTATTATCCTATTAAAAAATAAAATTTAATTTTCTTTTTATAAGAATGAGATAAAACGTTCTAATTTAAGTTTTTTTTTTTTAATTATTAATGCAGCTAACTTCACATACAAATTATCACGACGAGCTGGACTTTGAATTCTTGGGCAATAAGGAAGGCAAACCTATTACTCTGCAGACAAATGTGTTTGTGAATGGACTAGGAGACAGAGAGCAAAGGTTTCTTCTTTGGTTCGATCCTACTGCAGATTTCCATACTTACAAAATTCTTTGGAACCAACATCATGTGGTGTAAGAGAAAATACTTTACATTACTCTTCCATTTATTGTACAAAAAATTGAATATTTTGTTATATTGATGCAGTGGCCATTAAACTGCATAATCTCAAGTACTTGAGCTTTTTGGCGATTCAACATCGTCAAACTGGACAATTGTCTTGAATCGCTTCAAATTTCACTTCCACTTATTTATAAAAATTTCCCGTGTCGAGCTATTTGATAAGGAAATTAAAACTATGGATTTGGCCTCTATTTCTTAAAATTCATTTTCAATCACGTGTCATTTGAACCCACAATGTCTATCAACATTGTAACCACACATTTTACCAACTTTTATTAAAATCTAATAAAAATATGGTTTTTTTTATCTAAACCAACAAAGACTTTATTTTTCAACATGCTAATCAAATTTATTTATTTATATTATCATAGTCTTGATAGTGCATAATTTTCATAAAATGGTAATAACAAAAATTGAACTCGTACATACGAGGCGCTAGTTTGACCTACTTCGTATAAAAGCATAAACTGTTAGATATGATCATAAAATATGTGTGTAGCAATAAATCCTAGCTTCATTTACTACATATATATTAATATTGCAATAAAATGTGTGTAGCAATACATATCACCACACATTATATACATGTATGGCTATTCTAGACCAATTATTTCTTTTATAAACGTTTTGGTTTAGTATCATCATAATTTGCGCATCGAAAAGTTGGTTTTTCAACATTCAACTAAGCCAGTTTAATCAACCTTGAATGTGGTCAAATTGAAAATGAATAACTTCCGAGTCAATCCTTGGAACTGAAGCCTCTACATCACGTCCTATTTATTTTTGGAAAATGCTATGTGTACATAGCATGTTCCATAATAATGTCCATAATGGACACATGGAGATCCTGTTGGAGTGGGGCCTGAGCCCGGATCTCCATGTGTCCATTATGGACACCCTTATGTATTGTGTTATGTACCTTTATTTTTATATAACACGCCTTCTTTATTTATTATTTCTCTAGGTACTATGTTGATGACATCCCAATAAGAATATTCAAGAACGCCACCAATATTGGAGTGAACTACCCATCCCAACCAATGCAAATAGAAGCCAGTTTATGGAATGGGGACAGTTGGGCCACAGATGGAGGCCGAACCAAGATTAATTGGTCGCACGCACCATTCAAAGCTCACTTTCAAGGTTTCAATGTTGATGGCTGCCCATTAGATCAAAACTCCATTAATATACAACAGTGCTATTCATCAAATTATTGGTGGAACGATAAGAAATTTTGGAAGCTTGACAAGAATCAGCAGAAGGCATATCAACAAGTGAGACAAAAGTATATGAATTATGATTATTGTTCTGATAGGTCTAGGCATCCTAATATTCCCCCAGAGTGTGTGTAACAGTACTGTGGCTGCATCTTTTCAATTTTCTTGGGGTTATTTCAAGAAAAATTGCTTAAATGTTTGTGAAAGAAAATCAAGAAGAGCCTGTGAAGATAAACAATGTTTAAAAAGAACAGATAGGTCTGTTGGCGCGACCCAGCATCACCCGATTCAAGTTCAAGAGATGACCAAAAAAAATTACCATCACGCTCATCTAGAGAATTTAGATCCAACGTGGACGCTACCACAAATCACCATTGTATTCAATTAAAGAAAAAAACATAAGATAGTCCATAATCAGTGGGAAACCAATATGGGACGAGGAACGATTCATTGAAGTATCTGTGGCTAGAGATAGACTTCAATCAACGATTTCAATAGTCGGGATACAAAATTACCAGCTAATAATTTCAAGATCACAATCCAACGTATCTTAAGTTAAAACCTAGATATGGTACAGTTTTGTCACACAAAATTGTTGTCAACTGTTGAGAACATGTTGAGGACACACTTTGCTAGGATGAGATAGAAGAGAGGTGATAAGCTTGAGTAACTGAGACATAAGCCCTGCCTGATAACGGATGTCTCTTGATAGGAAGGTTTTCTGTATCAAACGAGTACTATAAGACGCTACTTCACTTTGGCTTTCCATGCATAATATTTTTTGCTTTCTTGCTTGTATCTTTTCCATTCTCTAAGGACCGCAAGAAGCACATGCAGCGAAACTGGCAGAAAGAAGGG